CCATACTTTCAGAATCTAAGCCATACTTTCAGAATATTCTTTATAGTTTGATAATCTCCTACTGACGTATTCTGAAGCCGTGCTAAAGCATTACGATATTCATTTATATTTCAGGAGAGTAATTTAAAAAGACAGTAACATTTTATGGTTCATATGGTTTGCTTTTGAACCTTGTCAGTGACAGCTGGACGGATCTGCATGGAAATGAAGCGCTGAGCCAAAACAGGCAGAATACAGAGGAGAGAAGTCAGGAAGATGGTCAGCCACAAGTTTGGCTGGTTCAGAGTATTTCTTGCGGTGCCTGAAAGAATTAGAAAGTACCAGTAGTCAGAAAAGTTTGTTTCTGCACAGCCTCACAGTACTTAATACGGACATAAAAAAAAAGTTGTTTCCATGAACAAACTTTAAAAAAGAGAGTTAATGAACTTGGAGGCATTTCCAGTGTTTGACATTTAGTGGTTCAGATTAATTGCATCTGGAAGACCTCACAYTTAACTGAGAAGTTGTTTTAAAAAAACTGCAAAGAAATATACATATCTTTTGAGAAAATACTCACCAATGAGGGGGAAAGTGGAGGTGAAGATGAAAAACATGCCGTTGCTGTACATGGTGAACGTCACAGCAAAATATGCAGCCAGGCTGCCCCACACAAACAGCTGGTTTATTGCTGTCCAATAATAGGTGTCGAGACAAATCTTGAAAACAMAATACAGATTTATTCATATAGCACACATGTAGTTTTAATACAATATATTATATATTTTCATACATTATTTTGAAGAGCACAATCTTATGGACATTTGCCATCAGGGCCGGCCCTAGCCAATGTGACGCCCTAGGCCAGATTTCAGGTGGAGTCTCACTGCCAATTTACACATTCACAAATATGGTTGTGTCTTTGATGTTTTTTTTATCTTTAGAAACCAGGTCGTCCAATTAAAACAGTTAACATAATTCMTTTCAAACAGAATACCCGAAGTCTATCTCAAACCTGCCAACATCTGCTGACAGCAATGAAGAACACCTGTTCATGTGAAGTGAAGCAGTTCTAGGGGGGTCCAGAGGTATACTCCCACAAAAAATTTTTGTAAAAGATCTACTCGGAACTATGTATTTTCCAGCCATTCGAAGAGCATTTTACTAAACACTTGGATTAATAAAACAACGTAAATTAATATTTTATGAAGGAACAACACTGAAAACCAGACTTGATCTGAGATCATAATTTAAACTTTTGAAAAGAAATATGTGATCAATAAATGGAAGTCTGAATAATAGCTGTTTTAAACCATATAGCTGCAATGATCGGAAAGTATAAAAATGCAAGACTAGATCTATAATTCAGCCAGTCGGTTACAAAATTTCATTCATTTTCATTTTCCTTATGTTGTTTTCTATTTACATACTGAGTACCAGTGTTTGGTTTTGACTGCATCATATAATACTGCGAAATATCCTCTATACCATATAAAATCATGGAGTAACAAAACAGACCGAGAAACCCACAGACACAAATACAGTCAAAAACCTGAGTAACCAGTGATTATTCCACRCACTAAATCCATTATACTCTGATAAAAAGTTGTAATTCTTTATTTTGTACCATATTTGTGGCGCCCCTTAGATGGACGGTGCCCTTAGCTACTGCCTATCCTGCCTATGCCATGACCCAACCCAGTTTTTCATATAAAGTGTCTTAAACTGGATTTGAATTAACACAATCTAAAATCATTGAGTGTTTTTATATGCTGCTGTATGTTTTTGTGATAATAGAAACTGCATCTCTCACCTGTAGGCTCACCACCACAAGAAGACAGGTCTGTGCAAGTAGAGCAAAGGATTGATAGTCTGCTATATCCTTGCCATCGTCCCTAACTGTATCTTGCATGGCTGCCCATGGGACGAAGAACAGGATTAGGGAGCTGTAGCAGCTGATCATTACACAGCGCACAAAAGCCATTTTGTTAAAATACTTGTTCAGCTGGCCGGGAAAGTAGAGCTGAGGATACTGACAGCTCCAGCGGTCGTTTACATCCTGTAAGTAAACGATAAAAAGCAAGAAGGACAAGACAACAAATGAAAGAAGGATACAGCGAACAACGGAAATGCTTCAAAACACTGTGTTTGATTTTGTGAACATTTTCAAGATGTCGTTCCCGTTGGTGCAGACCTGGTCAAAGAGGCCCAAGGCAAGAACAGGAGTAGCTGTGTAAACTGTATTATATAAGGTGATGAACCAATCATCATACACCGTCTGTGGACAGAGACAGAGAATTAAATGTAGTGTTCTTCAGACATCACAGACTGTTGATTCAATGAAATAATCTGTATTATCTGAGTAACCCAGTCCTAATTTTTTATCACTAGGCAGGTAACCAATATCAACATTTCTATTAAATCATATGAATTGTATATTTATATCTTTGTGACATAATACTTACTTGTGCAGAGAAGCCACAGAAGAAGGCATACCAGAAGTGAACAAGAGTGTAGGTGAAGTTCTTGTAGAAAAAGTACCGCAGGAACTTGCACATGCGAAGGTAGGACCAGCGACCGTGCACCAGCAGGAGGCGCTGCAGGTAACGGAACTGAGCGAAGGAGAAGTCACTGGAGAGAACTGCCTGCATCCCCTCCTGACCACTGATTCCAACACCGATGTGAGCAGCTGAAGGACAAACAAGACCAGATGTAGTACTCAGAGGAGCTACCAGGCCTGTGCATCGGCTCCTGCTGTGACTGAGTTTACCCTTGATCATGCTGACGTCRTTGGCTCCATCCCCAATGGCAAGAGTGACAGCCTGCTTGTACTTCTTGACCAGCTGGACCACCTGTGCTTTCTGCAGAGGGGTGACCCTGCAGCAAATCACAGTCTGGCACATGCATGCAGTCCTCAGCAGCTCCAGCTCCAAATCCTTCTCCAGTGCAAACGCCTGAAGGTAGAAGAGGATTTGTTACACAAATGGACTTTATTACAAGGTCCTCCATGCCTTCTTAGAAACAAATAAATAAACATACATTTATATACATGTGTAATTTAAAAACTTTCTCAAGTCACACACACAATAGTAAACGCCTCACCAAGCTGTGTCCATTAATAATTAGAGCATAGTCTCCGTCCACTTTCTCATCCTGCACAGTCTCTGTCTTCTGCAGCCAAAACAAACCTGCCCGAGCTTTGATCACTGACGGCTCGTCTGCTGCTTCAGGACTCATTTTTCTTCTCGCATTTCTTAACAAGATAAAATAACAGGAGATTCAACAACAACAACAAAAATAATCAACTATTTCTTCTTTTTTCTCTCACTCTATTTTGTTTTTGCTTATTGAATAAGCCTCTTCTCGGCCGACTAAAGTTATTAACGTACTGCAGCTCCTCTTTGACTCCTTCGGCTGTGTTTGCAGCCACGATGAAAACATCCTTCATCTCTTCTCTGAGCATGTTGCAGGAATAACCGATATTTTCTGCCGTCTCTGTTTTAAAGCAATCAGAAGGACCAAAACTGAGGTGTGAGCTGTKCACACTGAGTCTCATATTGCTGTACAATACGTGATGAAATGCTTGGTGTGAATGAGAATAAACAGTAACAGYCACCTTGTTTRTCTCCAGTYAACACCCAGATTTTGATGTCAGCTTTAGCCAGCTGTTCAATGGTCTGTGGCACACCGTCCTGCAACTTGTCCTCCACAGCTGTTGCTCCCAGCAGCTAAAAAACAAAAATATGTGGATTTAAAGTAATACTGATGTTTTTAATTAAACAAATGCAAGACCAATAAGTCTTTGCTTTAAAAAAACAAACAAACTCACAATCATGTCTTTCTCGATCTCTTCATAAAGTTCATCGAGTCTCTCCTCTCGTCCCTCCATGGCTGTGCTGGCCTCATGGTGGCGCTGTCTCCACCCCTCCATGTAGCTCTCCTCCAAGTCCTTGTAGGCCAAAACAAGAGTGCGGAGGCCATCCCCTGCATACTCCTGTTTGGGTTGGATCAGTTTAAAGAGTTAAAAAGAAAAATATAAAGAAATTCAAATGGTGGTGGGGGGGGGGGGGTTTCACAAAATCTCCATCTGCCTGTCTTACATTGAGGTGTCCTGTCGTAACTTCCTTCATTGTGTTGCAGGAGGGGTGTAACCGTTCATAGATGATGGTGTCTGCTCCTTTACAGTACAGAGTCAGTTTACCTTCAGGACTACGTACTGAAAATAACAATGAAAGGCAAAATATTCAGTATTTCCAAATATATTTACAATATATTCATGTTATCATGGTAATCTCTGCTTTTTCTCTAGGCAGCTGCTTAAAATGTAACCTTATCTCTTAGATAGAAACAGTGTTGTATAAAGTACCACAAAGTGATACTTAGTAAAAGGACAAGTATCTTACCAAAAAATTACTTTGCTAAACGTTAAAG